GCCGGCACCTCGCTCCCTGACGGCGAGGGGTTTGGGGGCGCCTCGTCACCTTGCGCAAGAGATGAGTGACGTCGCCACGGCAGGGGAGACGCTGTTTATTCCAGTAGCTCGGGAAGGGGTCAGGGGGAAGGTTTGTTCGCTCTCTTTTTGCGAGGGTAAGCTTGATTCTTTGGCTTGAGAAACTGGGGTAATTTGGGTTACAGATGGTTTCCAGATTTTTGTTTTTAATGATTGCTAACGGGTTTGGAGATCTGGGCCGCTGTGAACTTTTAATTATAGAAGCCTGCTTTTCTTAATTACTTTTTAATGGTGATTAAGGCTCTTTTAAACGTGGTCCACACACTGTCATAAGCTGTTCCGTGGTAATGGCTATTTTAAGATGGCGGATTTCATTAAAAATGTATTATTTGCTCTCTCCTTGTAGTAGTAATTTCTACTGCCGTCAGACTGTCGGAGAAAATGCTCCTGCATCAGCATCAAGTACTTAAGTCAGATTAGCTAATGTGGAACTGCACAGCTCAGCTGTGTAGTGCCATAGCTGGCCTTAGTGGCAGTTGAATTTGACAGAAAAATTCTTGGTTTCAGTTTCTGGAATACCTACATGGCAATCTCATTAGTCTCGTTAAATGTGTCTTCATTCATGTTGCTTTTAACTTTTCTGAGGGTAATTTGTTTGATAAACTCCTATGTCTTTAAATGTTACAGTTTTTTTTATTATACTCAGCTATGTAAACGTTAATTTTTTTAACCTAACAGAGTTACACTGATTTTTTTAAAAACTGGACATTTGCCTTAAAACCGGTAAAAACTGTGTTCCTTCCTCTATCTTTATCCTACGTTCAGTGCCTAAAATAATCTCCTCAAACTGCTTCTGACTAATGGTCCTTCAGTTTTTGCGGTTACAGATAAGAAAACTTGAATCCTGTGATTTAGTCATTTTCCTGTAATGAGTATTCAAGATTAAGTCCAGCGTTGGCTGTACCTGTGCCTTGCAGGGGAAGGAGGTCTATGATTACTGCGTCCAGTTCTGGGCTCCCCAGTTCAAGAAGGATGAGGAACTCCTAGAGAGAGTCCAGAGGAGGGCTACAAAGATGATTAGGGGACTGGAGCATCTCTCCTATGAGGAAAGGCTGAGGGAGCTGGTCTTGTTTAGCCTGAAGAAGAGAAGACTGAGAGGGAATCTCATAAACACTTACAAATATCTCAACGGTGGATGTCACAAGGACGGAGCCAGACTCTTCTCAGTGGTGCCCAGTGACAGGACAAGGGGCAATGGGTACAAACTGAAGCAGAAGAGGTTTTCAGTTGAGTATGAGAAAGTACTTTTTTTTCTTAGAGGGTGACAGAGCCCTGGAACAGGCTGCCCAGGGTGGTTGTGGAGTCGTCTTCTCTGGAGATATTCAAACCTCGCCTGGACGATGTCCTGTGCAACCTGCTCTAGGTGACCGTACTTTAGCAGGAGGGTTGGACTAGATGATCTCCCAAGGTCCCTTCCAGCCCCTGCCATTCTGTGATTATTAGTGTATCCCATTTTTATGGCATGTTTGTGAGGACTTCTTTTGTAGGATGCTACCTCTTAAAAATGAAGGTCTTTATTCTTAAGGTCGGGAGGATGTTAACTCTCTTCATTATTTGTAAACAAGTGAGAGACTTGAACTGCCAGTCTAGAAGCCGAATTGCGTGCCATACTTGTCTTCAG